ATCGAACTCATGCGGAAGTGACTTTAGTTTCTTAGTGCAGTGCTTTAACCCGCTGCGCCACCAGGGAGGGGCCCTCAATTTCCCTTTATGTAATTGGTCTGTTCAGGTTTTCTGTTTCTTCCCTATTGACTTTCTATATTCCACATATAAGTAAAATCATCTAGCATTTGCCTTTTTCCTTCTGACTTATTTCCTTTAGCATTGTCATAACCTTTTTACCCATTTTCTTGATAGTTTTATATCATGTAGTGGGAAATACAAAACAGCTGAGTATTCCAGACACACCACATCTGTTCCTGGGAATTAAATACTACATATAATTAGCAATATTGATTGAGGGAGTATATGTAAATAGAAAGTTATTATTCCTAGTCATTTGATTGTGGAGGGAAAGGGGAAGAATATAATACTGCTTCTACCCTATTTGTATAGTTTTATTTATACTAGAGTGGTAGAAAAACTAGGTGATTATTGCCTAGATTCAGTAACCTTTGAATGGGTATATAATGAGTACAATACATTCGATCATAAAAACTGCTGTTAACACTGTCTGGGATTGGTGCTATCCAGAGTGAGTTAAATGAACTTGATGTTGCCTTAGAAACTAATGAAGGCAGCCTACAGGTTGGTGGGAGAAATAAGCAGTGAAACAAAATATAATGCTCTGTAATGCTAAAACAGATAATAGTTAAGAACTTTGGAAGTATAGAGCGCATCATGTAACAGTCTAAAGATTTCATTGAGAAGCAGAAAAAATGTCATTCTGCATATTGAGAACATTATGTATACAGGTCATTTTGTGGAATTATCAGTAAAGACCTTGCTATGTTAGTGTTCTGGGACCAAGAATGAAGAAGTGGCGAGTGGCAATGGAGGTTGAGTGGGCCTCAGGGTTGATGTACTCATAAGACACATTAGACACAGAGCTTAGGATCCCGCTATTTTGGGAGGCCCATGACACTTTTAATTTTTTTTTTTAATCAGAAGGGGGGAAAATGAACTTTTAGATTAAATCTTTTAATATCTAATATTACTATATTGTTTTTATACCAATACACAGTTATAAAATATAATTTTAATTATGTGTTGATGCATTTATTTAATGTAGGAAGAGGCCCATGAAAACAAAAGTTCATAACGCCCATAAAAGTGATTATGTAGCCCTGCTGGGTATTGATTATGAAGGGCCTTCTTTCATAACTGAAGCGTTTGAATTTAATTATAGGACCATCAGGGAACTCACATCTTTTATGCGTGATCAGCTCTGTCTTTTATGAAGACGCCTTTCAGCATTTGGATGAGACTATTTCCAGTATATTGTTACACTGGTCAGAATTGTTTTAGTGCTTATTATAACCAAATTTTACCTGTTTAAAATGATGAGGATTTTTTTTCAAGACCCATGTCTAATCATTGTAAATGGTTTCCCTTAAAACAGCTAATTGACCATATTTGATAAACATTTGTTAGGCTGTTGACATATATAGAACATCTACATGTAAATGATCAGGTCTCTTTATGTGATCTGTGACAGTGTAAAACTGGGCTGTACTGTTTCTGATTGTACTGCATTCCATTTCTATTTTTTCTTAATTATTTATGAATAATTCAAGAACTTTATGCAGAGACGGACTAAGATTGATTTTAAAAAATAGCACTTAAAATCGACAACTATTTTTTAAAATTTATTTATGCATACAAGAGCTGGGGTTTAGGCCAGAGATGGAGGTGGTAAGAGAATTCACCAAAGACTGAGTGGGGAGCAGAACAGGCAGATTGACTGAAATACACTGCTGTGGGGAGCCCGGGGCTGCAGAGAGGTCTGCTGTACTATGTTGGTCAGCTCCCTGGTGGGAGATCACTGATAGCTCATAGACTTAACCCCTTGCACCAGGGAGGCCCTTACAAGCTCTGTGTTACAAAATTATTTTTTCATTGTTTTGACAAGAGCAGATTAGTTATAATTCTTGCTAGAATACCTTTATATTGTGTTAGAGTTACCTTTTTTTAAAAAAAAATTGAGGTAACATTAGTTTGCATTGTTGCTTGAGTTTTAGAAGACTAGGATCTTCACTTTAGGTTTTTTTTTTTGTTTTTTTTTTTATCGTATTACATCCACCCCCAAAACATGTATAGCTCTCTACTACCCAGAGCAGAGTCCGTTGTGCTCTTTCCCTTCTTTGTTCTTGCCATTCTCCTCTCTCCTCTTCTGGTAACCTCAGTTCTATAGTCAGATTCCTAGGGAGTTGTTAGTTTGTCTTTTTTTATGACCCTTTGTTTTGGTTTCTTTATATTCCGCTTATATAAGTGACACTACCCAGTATGTCTTAATCCTTTTGACTTATTTCTCTTAGTGCAATCTCCTCCCAACTCCACCTATGTTACTGAAAATGGCAAGAGTTTATATCTTTTTTTTTTAATGCCTGTGAATGCTCCACTGGACTAGTCTACATTCCCACAAACGAGTTACTTTTAAAATTGCAAATTATAAGTGAGTACACTAATGCCACGATCATAAAATTATTCCGAAAGTGTGGGCTGAAGTTATTGTAAGAAAAAAACTTGGTTATGACCAGGGGATGTTAAATGGTGTGATTCAGATACTCAATTGTAGTTTTATTGTTCTGATATTCAATTTAGCTTAGTTGATGTGGTGAGAATGGAAGAGAGAGACACACAGGAGAATCTGTGTCTAAAATTTCATTTATTTTTGGCCTTCTCTAAGGAGAATTTTGATGTTTAAAACATCAAATTACTTAATAATGGCATTAAAATTAGCAAACATTTTCAGACCTTCAGCTACTTTCAATTGTAAAGGAAATCTAGGAAAAGCAAAAAATATTTTCATTTTTTAAAAAAGATTTTAGGGCCCTCCCTGGTGGCACAATGGGTTAAAGTACAGCACTGCTGAAGCAGCCTTGGCTGCTTCATTGTGAATTCCATAGTTCCATCCCCAGCCACTGCCAGGGCTGTTGTTCCTCTGAGCAGGGTACTTCCTCAATCTGCCTGCTGTACCCCACTTCGTCTCCGGTGAAACCTCTCACTGCCCTGCACCTCTGGCCTGCAGCCCAGTTGTGTATGCATAAATAAATAAATCTTAAAAAAAAAAAAACTAAGCACATATATATATATAAAATATTTTAGGCCTCCCTTGTGGTGCACAGTATTAAAATCTCAGCACTATGATGCTCTCTGCAGCCACTGTAGCATGAGTTCCATCTCCAGCCAGAGAGCTGATGCACATGGCACAGCAGACCTCTCCTATCTCACCCACTGCTCCTCTCGGCAGTGTATTTCAGTAGATCCAACTGTTCTGTTCCCCACTCTGTCTTTGGTGAACCCTCTTCCACCCATTCCCCTCTTACCCCTGCACCTCTGGCCTATACCCCAGTTCTTGTATGTATAATAAATAAATCTTTTAAAAACAAATAATTACAAGTTTATTCAAGCCTTATTAATGATTTAGTAGGGGAATTTAAAATTCCTTTCAATATTATAAGATTTTATGTAATAAGGTTTTAAAAGATTACCATAATGTTAATTTATCATTCTTTTATTTCCTTTAGCTTCTCAGAATCAAGAACGACTATGTGCATTCAAAGATCCATATCAACAAGACCTTGGGATAGGTGAGAGTCGAATCTCTCATGAAAATGGAACAATATTATGCTCAAAAGGTAGCACTTGCTATGGCCTTTGGGAGAAATCAAAAGGGGACATAAATCTTGTAAAACAAGGTAAGTAATGTTTTTGTAACCTAAAGTAACTATGTTTTATATAATTGAAATTTATCTAAAAAAAAGATACAGAGGCAAACTGAAACCCTCTCTAGGACAACAGTAAATTCAATATGTATGCTGGTGTATATATTCTTTCACAAGTCCCAAATTTGTAAAGGGTAATTGATTTTCACTTATTTTAATAACATTATAATCTTAATAACAAATCCTCATTGTATGAGGTTTAAAAAAATACAGAGAACTATAAAATACCTTAAGTCTACCAATCTATTCTATATTCTTATAAACTTTTTTATAGTATTAGTTTATTCCCATGCAACTCCATGTTTTTGTTTGTATACTTTTTCAAATTAGGATACTAATATATAAACAATTTCATAACCAGTTTCCCTACCTTATATTAAATCATGAAAAATTTTCCATGTCTTAAATATTCTTTGAAGATATTTTTAACCTCTGTATAATATTTCATTATAATGTAACACAGCAGACACAGTGTTCTATTGTAGGACAATATATAGTTTTGTGATTTTCACTATAATACATGTTTCCATGACCATCTATAAACATAACTCTTTGATTGTATCAGATTATTTCCTTAAAATAGATTCCTTAAAGTAGAATTAATAGAGAATACAACATGAATATTTTTAAACTAAAAACAGTCATGTTGCTTTCTGAAAATTCTGTATTCAGTTACATTCTTTTTAGCAGTGTCTTAGAGTCTGTTACTGAATTTTTGTTTCCACTGTATATGAGTATTGTTTAATCCTGTGTTAATTCAGTAGATAAAGACAAAATGAAATCTTGCTGCCATTGCTTTAATGATTACAGAAAAAGTTAAAAATGTGATTGACATTATTTTCCCGCTACAAAATACCTGTTTATATTTTGCCATTTTCCTCCTATTTTAAAATATATATTTTTATTGATTTGCATGAGTGTTTAAAACACGCACTCACTCTGGAGTATTGATTGCAATTTTTGATAGATTGTTGTTTTCCTTTTGTTCCTTTCTTTTGTTTTATTCATATAGTCTCATAACTTATTTCCATTAATATCCATTTGTAGGATGTTGGTCTCACATTGGAGATCCCCAGGAGTGTCACTATGAAGAATGTGTAGTAACTACCACTCCTCCTTCAATTCAAAATGGAACATACCGTTTCTGCTGCTGTAGCACAGACTTGTGTAATGTCAATTTTACTGAAAATTTTCCACCTCCAGACACAACAACACTCAGTAAGTAATTAAAGTAACTGTCTTTTCATTGCTCCCTTTCTCCAAATATTTGCAAAAATTAAAAATACATGAAAATATTCAGGCTTGGCAAGAGTGAGAGAGAAGTTTTCACCTTATAGTACATCTAGCCAACACCTGAAGTCTAAAAGAGATTCACCAAGATTCCCTTTGTTGTTGTTGTTGTTGTTGTTTTATGGAGTTACTGTTATTTTTTTTTTTTTTGTTTTTTTTAATTATATTTTTATTTTTTTTATATCGTTCTTCATTTTGTGCATTTTTTCATCTCAGTTGTAATCCCCATGGGCTTCCCACCACCAATTCAC